TTCTCTGCTATTGCTCCTGCCCTATGGAACATCTTGCCCCCCGATGTGAAGTTGGTCCCAAACCCTCCTATCTTTTCCTAAGGGCCTTAAGATCTGGTTTTGACAGTCGACTAGGGGCTCCAGTAGGGGAACAGTGCAATGGAGGTGGTTGATTGAGTAATAACAATTTCACCTTCCTTCTCCCCCCCTCCCCCGCTTTGCCCTCTCCCTGTGTCTTTGGTTTTAAAGTTTGTTTTTAACTTTTTACGTTTTAGCTTAGAAGTAACTGTAAGCCACCCAGAGTTACCCTAGATGGTCGGCCAATACATTTTATTTATAAATCAGTCAGTCAGTCAGTCAGTCAGTCAGTCAAGGACCTGTATTTGCCAAGGATGTTGTCTACAGATATTCCCCAAATGAATTAGAATTCGTTTTGTTGCCATGGTACTGTATACTCCATATTCTTGTAAGAAAGATATATAATTATTTCTGTAAACACATTATGTATTTAACTTCATTTATCAATCCTAGATACCACATTATGAGTCACTCTCGATGTTCAAGGGCAGCTAAGGAGATTTATCTCCAGCCCCTCAATTCTCAATTTACGATTTGTTAGCTGGTCTATTTTTAGATAGGTTTACATGTTTAGGAGTCATCCATCCAGTCTAAGGTCTATGATAATAAATATCTTGAGGGACAATTTGGGCCAAAGCATTTGGGTGCTCCTTCCTCCTTCACCTGGCACACTCCTTATATGCTATCATCCTGTTAGCTTGATCAATGGCTAAGTCCACCATTCCAAAGCTCTGCCTAAACTTTATTTTTGTAGTACTCATATATTTTGAGTTGTGTAATTCCTCTACTAATAAATATCTACTATGCTTAGGACAATTTGTATAGGATATTTATAACATAATTATTTTTATACTTCTGGGAATTCTCTCTGGGAATTTCTTTTTCCGCAGGCTGGTGAAGAACCAGTAATCAAACATTCTGAAATTTTAGATCTGGATAGCCTCGAATTATGCCATCTACATTCCGACCTAAGCTTAGTTCATAAGATTATTTAGCAAAACGTTCTACCTGTAAATGAGTACTTTAATTTCAACTGTGATAACACAAGGGCTATCAATAAATTCAAACTCAATGTAAATCACTCTAATCTTGACTGTAGGAAATATGACTTCTGCAATAGAGTAATAAATGTCTGGAACACTACCTGATCTTATTGTTAGTCTCTCTAATCCTCATCTAATCCTTTTATTACTGTCCCCATTTATATGTAATCATTCTATGTGTTTATGGCTATGTTTTGCCTATTTATATCCTTTTATTTGTGCCAATTTTTTATGTGTCCATGTCTATGTCTATACTGTTACTTTTTAATTAATTCTCATCTAACGTTGGGCAGAATCAGGCAAATTTGCTTTGTGTACATAATTGTTCAATGCCTATGATCATCATGAGCTGTACTGCATAGGGCCAGATAAGATTTCACATTGACTTTCCTAGATTTACTGAAAGAAAGAAAAAAAACATACTTACTCAAAATTATATTAAGTTTTACATATTCTTTTTAAAAAGCTTCAAGTAAGGTTCCAATTATGTTTCCACTCTTTCTATTCTCAGCAAAAACTCATTCTTAAAAATAGTTAAAATTTATCTAATTCAAGGATAGGCCACCATTTGCAACAAGGACAGTTCTCTTCATATGGTTTAACAGATTAAGAGTTGGGAGGGACCTTGTAGGTCATCTAGTCCAACCCCCCACCCAAGCAGTACCTTTCTTAGCTGCCAGGATCTATGGGAGAATAATGTATTTGCATAGTCCTGCAGAACCATCACCAAATTATTTGAAGTGGTGAGAACATTCATGTTATTTGTGTTCCATTCACACCTTAAATTCAGCATAAATAATTAATAAAAGAATCATGTTTTTCATAGAAATAGAACTGTTGACATACCCAGTCCTGATCCTCCTGTTTAAACATATAGTAAAATCAAAAACTATTTAATTTTTCGATTTGGCTCAATTGCCAAGATTCCAGAATGCTGCAAATGTGTCCATCACAGCTCTGAAGATTTCTTTGATTTTTCAGTAATATCATGTTTAATGAATGTTCAAAATAAATTATCTATATGTCAGTCATGTTTGAGAGCCCCAGCAGGTTATCTCTGCCTTCAAGTACAAGCACAGAATATCATAGATGATGTGAAAACACAGAAACAATGAATGCATAAATTGTATTAAACATCTAAAAAGATGTTCCCTTAAAAAATGAGAAAAGGCATCTGCATTAAAATTAAAGTTTTATTTCTCCAGTGGCCTTTTTAAGATCTATGGCAAGGGCAGAAAACTAACTCAAACAAGTCAGAAATCTTTGCATGCTATAAAGAGAAGATTAATAATATTCCAATAGTAGTTATTTTTAGTTTAGAAAATGGAAGTGGGATACCAAGAAAAGTAATTTCCAAAGCAGAGGTATAATCCTTACTATATGCCAAAAAGAACCTACATTATTTTATGAAATGGCCATGTCAATTTTCTTAAAATGTGTATATATTACAAAGAAAAAATATTATCTGTCAAAGTTAAAATCAGAAATGCAATTTGCATCTTTTCTTATTTGCCCCAGGTTTGCACAGAAGGTATTTCTAAACGATAAGGATTTAGTGTTCTGCAAATGAATTTGCTGTCCAAAATCACATTAGTGTTGTTCATCCTACTTTACAGAAATGAGGACATAATTCACTTGCACTAGTTGAATCTTTACAGAAGAAGCACTATAAAATTATTGATATCCTCTAGGGCAAATGTTTGCATGGAAAAGATAGTAAAGAATTATAGCATGTATGAACCTGGAGAAACCTCTTCCTTGATTATATGCAATGTCTTGCCATCCACTAAAACTATATTAACTTTAAAAAATATTATTGTTGCATTAGTATCAGCGGACAGGACCAATTGGAAGGTTTAAAAAGCAATTTCTCTTTAAATAGCAAGTGTATTAAAGCTAGGAAAACACTGATTCATTAGATTAATAAAACATAAATCATTGCTTTGAAGAAAATAAATCCAATCAATTCCCTAAACCAAATCTTTGATAAATATGACATGTTTGGGGTTTTCGCATGATTAGCTGTTCCTTTAAGGTATCTGTGTACATAGAAAACATTTGTCAAAATTATAATGTTTGTTAGTGATAGCTTTTGTGATCAAGAAGGAAATATTATTACAGTAATATATGAGAACAATAAAAATATGGAATGCTATGACTCTTGCTGTCTCAAATAGACTATCCAATACATAATGCTTAATAAAAATCTCTTTGACACGATGCTTGTCATGATAGATGTGACTATAAGACATAAAATCTGCAAATCAACCACACTACAAGCATCAAGGACAATTTATTATATTGGTTTCATTGTCAACAGAGTTCATTCTAAATCGATTATATCATTTATTTTATTTTATTATGAATCCCTTTTGATCTCCTTCTGGGAGATGGGTCTGAGTAACCTTATCCATCTGACCATATATAACCACTGTATCTTTGATTTTAATGAAAGTAAATAAAATAAAGGACTTCTCTTTAGATAAAGCGACAGAGATTTTTAAGCATTTCTAATCTGGTCAATCGCATTACTAGAGAAATTCAAAGGAAAATTGGTCATTTCAAAGTACCAGTCAGATCTTTTATTCGGAAATGGAAAATTTTGTAGAAAAGCTTTATCTACTGAATATGTGACAGTTAACTACTGCATGATATGTTGAGAGAACTCAAAGCAATTTTGGTATGTTAAGAACAGTAAAAGGAAAAGTGTTGTTCAAAAGTGGAGAAAAATATTTTAAGTGTCCGGTGCAGCTACTGTCATGTTGTTTATTTGCCTTATGCATACCTGCTTCAATGAGTTACATGTTTTTCAAATGAAAAACAAGTGGAATTAGAAGAGCAGTAGATAGTCTAAAGAACTGAAAAACAAGGAGTTATGTATTTTCATTTGTAATGTTCCTATGTTTACATGGTGATCACAATTGACACGATTCTTCTCAATGATGCAGTCACCAGCAATAGTAAGGGAAAAACAAAAAATCAACTGACCCTCAGTTCAATCTATCAATTGTCTGAGACATGATTCTTATAATAACTATGCTGTTTTATTTAATACAGATACTTCTCATCTTACGACCAGTAGCTTGGCAACTGTTCAAAGTTACATTGGATCTAACTGGGGATACTTACAATCTGCATTTGACATTCCAATGGTCCCCAAATGTGCTTTCGGTGCTCAGTAACCAGGCCTCATTTATGACTATTGGCAGCATTCTGCATTACATGATTTTTACAATGTCTTTGCCAAAAACCAGCATTTACTTTTGTGGGGGAAAAAAATGGCCGATAGCAAATTATGGATTTGCTTAGCAATCACAGCATTTGACTATCACCACAAAGTCATATATAGAACTGGTTAGGTGATGACCCAATTTGTGATCATTACAAGTTACAACTTAATGAGTAATGTCCATTAAAGTCATAATTTGAGCACTACCTATACTGTGATTCAAAATATTCATTATTCGATTGTAAGAATAAAGTAATTTGGTAAGAAGACAGATTGAAATCAGTAAGACCATTGGTCTTTATTAAACTTCTGTCCTATTAATTTTAATGAGACATAGTTATAATTTTGTTTAATTGCCTCTTGTGAATTCTCAATATTATATATTTATAATAATACTTTACATATTATTACATATATAAATATACTAAATAAAAGGTATATTAATGTAAATTCCAATAAAGTATTCTTCATCTTTTGAAACAGGTTATAGGTTATTTAAAGTGTTTTAAAACAAAACTTTTTTTTTTAAAAAAAGTAAAGCTTTTTGAGTTGCATGACCAAGCTAAAGAGAATCAAAATTATAACTTATCATACGTCATGTTTCATTTGTTCAAACAGTTTGTCAACAATTGTAATCCACAAAGCCAGAAAACAAGGACAATCAGAATTACCTTTAGTTCATTCTTATTTTTCTTCGTTGTCAAGATAAAGAGATGATTTAGTAAGGATGTGAAGAATACTTTGGCCTATTTTAGTTGAAAAATCCCAAATACTTATTATTCCACTGAAGGCATCATTCCTAGAATGATAAAAGATAAAGAATTCAATCAAAGAGAAGATGGTGAAAGAGGAAAGTAACAAGACAATAGGATTTTTTTAAAAAAAAAAAATTGCATTTCTCCAGCCTATAAAACATTTTGGGTGAGAACCTGAAGTATTTTTTCAACAACTTGCAACATTTCACAGCATAATATGAAACTTCAAATAAATATTATATTTCAATAATGATAGCATTTAGACATACTGCAGTCAGTGCCAATATTTGAAATACCACATCAGGAAGGATTTCCCCACTGACTTATATTCTGGAACTCATTACATCCATCCAAATAATCTAATTTTCACTTTCAAGTAGTAAGTTCAACTCTGATTCTAACAGGTATAGATGTCAAGTATTAATGATGTTCCGCTGAAATTGGAAGGTCATGATAATAATATAGAGTAAGTTTAATTTTACCACCCTACACTGAAGTATGTGTATGTGTGCTCAAAATACTCAGAAAAACTCATACAGTATTACTTTTGCAATGTTTCCCAATATTTGACACTATGTTTTTTTTTTTTTTCACAGTGGACTGAGTTTTCTTAAAATGCTGAAATTGACCTTAGCTTCTTCACTCTAAGAGCTAATCATCACCCAAAATATTTGGGGCACTATATAATAGATCTTATGCTTTAGAGTCTGTGGTGCTAAAGCAGGATATCCTCTGAGAATGTATCTGTTGTGCATTGACATCTGTTTTTCAGTATTTTTAATTGAACCATGAATTGCTAATGGGAATTGCTAATTGAAGACCATATGAAGATACTCATGTTTCACAGAGAAAAAATAATAATCTACTATATATTTTCTCCAAACACATAACAGGTTTTGTGTTCAGCACATTTTTACTATTTTTTAATTTATTTATTTATCAAATTCATCTGGCCACCCATCTTACAAGTGATCATGGGCAGCCTATAGCAGAAAAACTACAAATGGATGGATGGATGGATGGATGGATGGATGGATGGATGGATAGATAGATGGATAGATGGATAGATAGATAGATAGATAGATAGATAGATAGATAGATAGATAGATTAGATCAATCCATCTCCAGGAGTAATAACAAAGCCAGATCTTCAGTGACTTCTGGAAAGTAAGTAGCAATAGAGTTTTCCTTGCTTCACAAGGAACTTTATGCACAAAAATGGAAGGACACTATGATTCCCACAGTGGCTTAAAAAGTTGATGGACAGAATGAAACAATTTGTTCTTGACTTCCTCTCAAAAGGAAGTCTGCTTTTATTAGTTTTTTTTATTTTTAAGTTAGGTCTTTCATGTTAAACACTATTTGAAAACAACAATGCTGCCTTAGGAGCTTTGAACAGCTCTGGCAATTATTTTCATCAGCACTGTTTAATCAATGCTAATGAGTGTCTCATATCTAAGTATTTATACTTAAGTATAGACATTATTACCACCAACTGGATGCAATTAGTCTCCCAAGTTCATTAATGGGATTATTACTTAACAATGTTAACAATGTAGATTATCAAGATTTAGGATAAGATGTTAGTAATAACGTGTAATTAGAAGATAATTTTTCCATTTATAGCCAAATACCCTGGGGTTATTATTTGAAAGATCAAAAGCAGATGAAGTCAATGTTATTTTAAAATATTTATGCAGATGGAAACTGTTTGTATGTTGTACATGCATGTATCAATATGATATACGTTCGTATAACTGTGAGTGTATGCATAAGAACATCATATGCTTTTTATTGATTAATAATTTCTATGGAGAAGATTAAAGATTTTAAAATAAATTTAAAATAAATTTCACAAAGCTGTTGATCAGATACTGTACAAGTGTACAAATTGTACGTTTGAAAAAGTAAATCATGGTAAATAAGAACCTTGAACAGTTATTCAAAAATTCAGACAATCAGCAAATCTAATATTTTGAACATTTATTATTTTTTCACCCCTTTTAACCTATCAAGTAGTTTAACCAGTGGTGGGATTCAGCCAGTTTGCACCACTTCGGGAGAACCAGTTGTTAACTTTCTGAGCAGTTTGGCAAACTGGTTCTTGGAAGAAATCATTAGGGCAGAGAACCGGTTGTTAAATTATTTGAATCCCACCACTGAGTTTAACCAATAAAATCCAGTAGAATCATAGGATACTATACATTCAATAAAGATAGTAAATAGCTAGATCATAATAAAGCAAAAATCCTGTCCAAAATACATAAATGTTAAGAAACATCACAGTTGAAAGTGTTCAATAGTTCAACCAGAATTTAAACACAAAATCAAGAAAACAAACAGGTATTCAAATTAAACAGGGCTTGTAAAACGTAACCATTTCCTTAAAAAGCCAAACCTACTATGTTTTCCCCAAAATAAGAACCTGTCTTATATTTTTTTGAACCCTGAAATAAGCGCTTGGCCTTATTGCCATGCGCTCAAAAGCCCAATTGGGCTTATTATCAGGGGTTGTCTTATTTTGGGGGAAACAGGGTAGCTATTGTTTTGGGATTTGTAATCTATACTAAAGTACATTAATATATTTCGTATTTTCATGATAGCATTGACAATACAGTAGAACTGTTTCCTGTTTTAGAGTCTATGGATACATGCATTGCATGAGCTTCCATTGTACAGGTAGTCCTTGACTTATGACTATAATTAGGATCAGAATTTCTATTGCTTGTTAAGTGAATCACATGTTCATTAAATGAATCTGGCTTCTCCCATTGCCTTTATTTGCCAGAAGTTGGCAGGGAGGGATTGCAAATGGCACATGACCCTGGGATGCTGCCACCATCGAAAATGCATACTGGTTGCCAAGTGCCCAAATTTTAACCATGCAACCTTGGGGATGTTGTGATGGTCATAAGCGTGAAGATCAGTCATAAGTCACTTTTTCAGTGCTGTTGTAATTTCAAACTGTCTCTAAACGTACTATTTTAAGTTGAGGACTACCTGTATCCAAATTTGGTCATGATGCCTGCTTCTAGAGCACCATGGAAGAAAAAGGCAGAAGTTTTTGTGACTTTCTTCTTCTTAGCAACTTGAACTTTGTCACTTTAAAGTTAGCATTTAGCTTTTGAAAATCATACTCTAATTCAAATAGTCCACCAGCTCATGATATGTCTATGGAGATACTCAGACATCCAAAGGTTGTCCGAAAGATGCTTTTTCAAAAGGCAGCTGGTCTTTGTTTTTCCTTGAAGATGTTTGGCTTCCCATTCTAGAAGCTTCTTTAGCCGAATGGCATCATATAACTTAACGATTTATAGTGGTATAAAATAGCAGCCAGAATAATATGAGAGAAAAAGAAAGACAATCTCACGAGCCTGAAGTTCATAGAAAATGAAGATAAGAGAGAAAAGGTATTATGCAATGCCGCTAATACTATTTTTCCATTAAGTCACAATTACTCCAGATTTTGTAAACAATATGAATAAAATTTACACAAAGTTGACTTTATTTTCTACCCTTGTGAGTTTAATTGTGTTATTCACATCAATCAATTGAGCAAAATTCACTGAAATTAACATTTAGTAAATCTGGATGCTTGTACATTGGAAGATTTTCTTACTTTTATTTAAGCAAAAAGTTTTTTTAAAAGGTTGATTGCCATTTGATGAAGACACCTCTGAATGTGTACTACGAGGATCTTACAATATAGTGCTGATAAGGCTATTTGCAGATACTTGTCATTGAGTATTTCATGATTTTCAAGTTATAAACTTGAAATGATTTTTATATATGTGTAAAAAAAATCAAAAATTATTCCTATGAGTTACATGAAATCAGTTTGATCAGGAAAATCTATGTATAGTTCAATGGTGTTTGGGTTCTATTTTTTGTTTTTGTACAGGACAATTAGATTATAAAATGAGTACATATATTGGGGAAATAATGGGAAAACCCCAGGGGAGGAAATAATTATGTTAAAATACATTTGCTCCTTTAATGTTTTAAATGCAACAGTGTGCATATCTGATATTGTAACTACCTATCTCATATTTATTTCTTTGTTCTAGTCCCGTGATGGCGAACTTTTGGCATGCATGCCACAGGGGCACGCAGAGCCCCCTCTGCAGGCACACCAGCCATCGCCCCAGCCCAGCTCCATTGCGCATGTGTGTGCATCTCCCACCAGCCAGTTGGTCTTTGGGTCCCTGCCGCGCATGTGTGGAAGGTGGGGCGCATGCATGGATGCACATGTGAATACATGGGGCGGAGGGGCACGTGAGCAGGGGATGCTCGCATTGCACTTAGGGGGTTTGTGCGCATGCCCCTGGTTGCCGTTTTGGGCCTGGAAGGTCTCCTGCACCAACCTGGAAGCCAAAACGGGGCACAGGGGCCAGGGCACATGTGCAGGGGGGCAGGGCGCATTTGCATGAGACGTGAGCGCATGCACGGGGAACATGCACGCATGTGTGGGGGTGGTGCGTGTGTGCAGGGGCGCATTTTGCATTTGGGGGTTTCGGGCACATGCATTCACACGCACGTGCACTTTGGTCACTCAGCACCAAAAAGGTTAACCATCACTGTTCTAGTCTATTTTACTTTGCTTGTTTTCTTTGTTTGTTAATTGGGATTATGGGCTGCTCTAATCAAAAATAACTCTGAGAAGCCTGGATTTTTATGGACTGATATAAAATAATTTGATATTATTATATTTCAAAATTCATTTTGCTTTTATATATGACATTTTATTATTGTGAACTACAGGATTCTGTGATTGATTCAGAAGCTAATAAATGAATGAATTACAATGATAGCTCAAACTTTTTTCCACATTAGCAAATGTTTTTATGTGTAAAAAAGGTTAATTAAAACTGTTTCAGCTACAAAATTCGCATCAAATGGTCTTCATAAACCGCTAGGCAAATATACAGGTGAAGCTTGAAAAATTAGAATATCGTGCAAAAGTTCATTTATTTCAGTAATGCAACTTAAAAGGTGAAACTAATATATGAGATAGACTCATTACATGCAAAGCGAGATAGTTCAA